GGGGCGCCCACTGCTTCCCATCACCCCACGGGACCACCGTCTCCTTCCCTGGTACCAGGCCCAGCAGAGGTGACAGTCCCTTTCCAGTCCCGATGCTCCATTTTGTCCGTCCCTGGCACCTGCCCGGTCCCCTCGACTGTCCCACCCAGGAATCTTCGAGCTCATTGTAGCAGTGCATGCTTGTCACCCAGTACTTGGGCAGGTGGCAGAGGCCGGACTAGGAGTTTGAGGCCAGCCTGGGCTACACAGTGCATTTCAGGATATATGTACAGAATGTGTCTCAAGAAAGCCAAAAGGGGAAGGAAAAAAATAATCATAGTGGGCCTTGTACATATAGAGTCCTCAGAAAGAGGGGAGACCCTGCAGCCCTCCTTCAGTTCTCTGGCTTTTCTAGTGCCACCCCCTCCCCCAGCACACCCCAGCCCAGCTCCCCCATTTGCTGAATCCCTGCCTCTGTGGCTCTCCTCTCCATCCCCATACTCCTCCCAGCCTAAACCCGGCCAAATCCACCATTGATCTGGTCCCCGGGCCTGGAGCCTGCCGCCAGCTCTCTGGACCCATCGATCACCCTGGCTTTTTTCCTCAAACTGCACAGTCCAGAGAGAGTCAGGGCAGCTTGAAGACTGTGCTGGAGTTGGCTTAGAGGGAATGGGAGAACAAGACTCCCCAGCCAGGCGTGTCTCTCACTGGAAATGATGCACTTTCTCTCCTTGTCCTGTTTCTCCCCTGTGGGGCAGGGTTTAGAGGTTAACACCCCAGTTTTACACATTAGACCCCTGACTCATCAGGGGAGAGCCTGCTTGGCTGAATGTAGGAATGATTGGGATCCCTGGGGGGAGGAGCCGATTCAACCCAAGTGAGGGTGACTTGGCCACAGTCTAACTTCAGATTCCCTGGCTCTAAAAGACCAAGGGAGTTGGGTGTACCTTAGTTGGTACAGTGCTTGCCTTGTGTGCATGGAGCCCTGTTTTTTTTTTTTTGTTGTTGTTGTTGTTTGTTTGTTTGTTTGTTTTTTGAGACAGGGTTTCTCTGTGTAGTTTTGGTGCCTGTTCTGGATCTTGCTCTGTAGGCCACGCTGGCCTCGAACTCACAGAGATCCATCCGCCTGGCTCTGCCTCCTGAGTGATGGGATCAAAGGCGTGCGCCACCACTGCCCGGCTTGAGCCTTGGGTTTGATCTCCAGCTCTGCTTAAATCAGGCATGGTGGTTCATTCCTGTAATTCCAGCACTCGGAAGCAAAGGGAAGAGGATCAAGGCTATCCTTGGCTACATAGGGAGTTTGAGACCAGCCTCAGTTTATGTGGAACCCTGTTGGGGTGGGAGGAGAGAAATAGAAATAGACTAAGAGAATGAATGGATACAAATGAATTTCCTTTGATTATTCCTGAGCTGACTCCCTCTTCAGGCCAGGTTGGTCCTCACAGCTCCATCAGGCGCTCATAGAAAGACGTTCAATGTCAGCAGGACATCAGGACTCTGGGTTCCTTCACTCTCTGAGCAAAACCTACACTCTCCAAAGTTCTTAAACTGATCCTACAGCCTTTTAGATCCAAGCCTCTCCTTCTCCCTACCACCACCACCCTGGGAGAACTGGGTAGCTCCTAGGGTTCCCATGGTCATCGTCTGCCTGGGACTAGTACACTATCTCCCCCACACCAGAAATGCTGATGTTTTCCCAAGAGTCGGGGAGGAGGTGTGTGGGGCAGAGGAAGAGTGGGGAAGAGATCTTCTGGGGCCAGGAGGGAAGTCCATGTGTGTCCAGAGTCCTCTGGGACAGAGAGGGCTTGTTGTTTGAATCTTAGATGGTCTTTTAATAAGAAACCAGAGCCAGATATCAGGGTGAAAGCTGAAAGATCAGAGAAGCAGAACAGCCAGCCACTAGTTCTTACCTCTACGAAATCCTCAGCCTAAAGGGAGTGAGTTCCTGTTTCCTCACGCCTTACATACCTTTCTCTGCCCTGCCATATTACTTCCTGGGGTTAAGAGTGTGCAAGCTTCCCAAGCAAAGGCATGAGATCTCAAGTGCTGGGATTAAAGGTGTGTGCTGCTACTACCTGGCTCTGTGTCTAATCTAGTGGCTGGCTCTGTCCTCTGATCCTCAGGCAAGTTTGTTAGGGTACACAATAGATCACCACAAGGGCTGGCAGGAAGAGAGGTAGTCTGGGCCCAGAGTTAGGTCTAGCAACAAGGCCAGGGAAAACACACATGGATGGACTGGACAGAGAGGACCACTAAGTGCCCAGTGCCCTGAGCCCTGAAGGTCTCCTCCTCTGCTGTCCTCAGTAGGGTGTGACCCTCTTGGTGTCAGCGAGGGTGAGTGAAGGAGGAGGGAGGTGGGGGTCTACCCTATAGAGCTGCCAGCCTGCTCCCCCATATGACCCAGGCCGTCCTTCTCGGCTCAGGCACTGCCCACCCTGGCTTGCCACGAGGTCTGAAGCTGTCAGGAAGATGGTGGCCCCTGGGTACCTAGCCTTACTCAGTCAGCAGGATTCTTCCAGTTTCTTTTGTTATCAGGGAACTGTTCACATTGTATCAACTTAGTATTGCTTCTGTTAACACAGGTTCACTTTGAACTTGACCGTATATACTTAAGAGGAAACTCATTACCACCCCGAGGAACAAGAGCTTTAAAACCAGAGATTTGGTCCCCTCCCTCAGATTTGTTCTAATCCTTATGAAAATAAAGGTGCTAATCAATAAAGTATAAAAACACTGCTGTAAACCTCCAGCTGAGGCAGGAGGATCAGTGATCAAGGCCAGCCCGAACTATATATCAAGACACAAAATAGTTAGATAAATTAACTGTATATCTTATGTGACACACACACACACACACACACACACACACACACACACACACACACAGAGAGAGAGAGAGAGAGAGAGAGAGAGAGAGAGAACATGTCTTCAAAGTCATCACTGTGTGTCTGGACCTCACTCGGGGAGCCTCACAATGTAAGCGATAAAGGGTGCCTGGAAGGTCAGAGGTGGTGACTCAGACCTTGAGGTTTGGGGGGCGGGCAGGAGGGGGACAGACCAGAGAATAAAGACGGAAACCTGCATGATGTGTTGTATGCTCGGTGCTTGTTCTGCTCAATACACAGTGTCGTCTGTCCGGGGAGGTATGGCAGTGTGAACCTAGTAGATATTAGGTAACACCAGGCAGGCCTACGTGACTTCCTGTGGCTTTGGACCTGTCACTGGACTTCTGCAGTTAGGCAGCCATCTCAGAAATGGGGACCACAACCATGCCTACCAGACAGGAGTGTTGAGAGCCTTGGCGATGGTGGGGGGGCCTTGGAAGCCCATGACTGAAGTACCTATGGGAGCTGTTGTCCTTGTAGTTTAGTGAGAGAAGCTGGGTCCTCTGGGGCTATGAAGAGGCCTGGGCCACAGCCTGAAAGAGTGTGCTGTATGTGTCAGGGTGGCTCTTTGCCTCCTCAACACCCTGTGTGTGTGTGTGGGTGGGTGGAGTGTCCATCTGTCGTTATTGGTGGTAGAATGGTTCCTGTGTGTGTGTGTGTGTGTGTGTGTGTGTGTGTGTGTGTGTGTGCATGCTTGTGCGTATGTGTGTTGGCACTGAGGTAGCTAGTCTTGAAATGTGGCTCAGTCTCTTCTTTCCTCCTGTGGTTGGGCGTCAGGGAGTGTGGCCTGGCTGCGGGCCTGGTAAATAATTGTGTGGAGGGAAAGAGCGCGTTCGTGAATCTGGCCGAGCCCCAGGATTCCCAGCCTTGTCTCCTTCTGCCCTAGTCTATCCTTCCAGAAGTTCTGTGGTGGGACAATGTTGGTGTGACTGCAAGCCTGGCTGCTGGGGCCTGACGCTTGGTCAACACTCCATGGGCTGTAGGTGGGATGTATGGGGACTGCTGTCTCTCACTGGGGTGACTTCCGGGGGAGAGGGCAGGCAACGCTGTATTCCTTGTCCGGAACATGGCTGGCATGGATACCCAGCAGGGCCTGCCTTCCTTAGGGGTATGAGTAGGGGGAAGCAGGGCTTGGGGGGCGGTGCTGGGAGCTGGAGGAGGAGGCTGAGGGAACTCGGGAGGGGGTGAAGAGTGTGGAGACCTCAACCCCCGGCCTCCCCCACCCACTTCTGTTTGTCCTTTGTCCCCTGTACGTCACTTGTGGGTCTTGAGCTTGCCTGTGTGTTGGGAGGAGCTTGGAATGGGGAGGGAGGGAGAGTTTTGTCTGCCTGCTTCCTCTTAAGTTTGTTCCAGTCCATCTCTCTGTCCTCTCTGTGCCCAGCTTCTGCTGTCTGTCCATCTGTCTGTCTCTGGGGAGGGAGGGGAAGGGAGTCTCTCTACCCCAGATTTTGGGCCTCCATTCATCTCTGGGAAGAAGCCCTGTGACTGACCTTTGCCCTCACCCCACCCCCATAATTTCCTGGCCCCTGTCCTATATAATCCTCAGCTGGAGGATACAGTCCTGAATGTACATGTGTGGGGAAGGGGCTCATGGCTCCAGCCTCTCCTTCGAGAATGTTCTAGAGCACAGTGTGGCTCCTTTCCCTATTTTTTTTCTTTCTTTCTTTTTTTTTTTTTTTCTTCGAGACAGGGTTTCTCTGTGTAGTTTAGGAGCCTGTCCTGGATCTCGCTCTGTAGACCAGACTGGCCTTGAACTCACAGAGATCCGCCTGCCTCTGCCTCCCGAGTGCTGGGATTAAAGGCGTGCGTCACTGCCGCTTGGCTTCATTTCCCCATCTTCAGGAAGGGGACGAGTGTGCGGTTAGAGAGGTGACCAGGACTCCCCACCCCTAACTGTTCCCCTGCCCAACAACATCCCCTGCCTGCTCCAAAGCCCACCAAAGAGCAGCCTGCATCCAGGACCTGCTCCCTGACCCTAACTTGGAATTCTAGGTTTATGTCATATACTCTTCCTCCCCCTTTCCATCTCCCAAAGGCCTATCAGACCCTGCCCTGCCCCACAGGGATCCTTGTGGGAGATGGGCAGCCCCTTGGCGTGGCACCCTGGTGACCCTCCATCCTCTCCCCCTCTCGCAGATCCGGAGCGGAGCAGCCCCCCCATGCTGTCTGCCGACGATGCCGAGTACCCTCGGGAGTACCGGACCCTGGGGGGCGGGGGCAGCGGGGGCAGCGGGGGCCGGCGCTTCTCCAATGTGGGGCTGGTACACACCTCCGAGCGGCGGCACACCGTGATTGCTGCCCAGAGCCTGGAGGCGCTCAGCGGGCTCCAGAAGGCGGATGCTGACCGCAAGCGAGATGCGTTCATGGACCACCTGAAGAGCAAGTACCCCCAGCATGCCCTGGCCCTGCGAGGTCAGCAGGACAGGATGCGGGAGCAGGTGAGTGTGAGCAGAGGCGGGCTGTAGGGGGGTCACCCAGTACTTTATGGCTCTCGGGCAGAGCTGGGAGCCTGGAGTTGGGGAGTTTTGTCCCTGGGCCGTGGCCCTCCTTGATCTTTTCTGGAGCCTGGGGGAGAAAGGAGTGGGGCTTAGTCTCCGAGTCCCTGCCATCTGCTTGACACATGGAGTGTGGGTTTGGGCAGAATGTGGGAAGAAGGGCTGGGAGCTGTGTCTTGGAGGCCAAAGGAATGATGCAGAAGAAGAGAAAGGACGCTTTTGGCGCTGAGGATACTGGGCCTGGACCCAGGGGGACAGTTGAAATGTTTGGCTGTAGCACCTCTCTCAGGCCTGGGAGCTCTGAAGGCTGGATCTAACCTGTCCCCAGTCCTAGCCTGAACAGAACCCAGAACCGGGGCCACTACTTCCTTTGAGAACACAGACTGTGTGACTGAGCTGGAAGCCCGTGTGTGCCTTGGCTCTCTCCTGCCCCCCCCCCCGCCCCGCCCCAGTAAGGTTTAGGGAGGGGCTGGTGCCTGTGCCTCTGGCCCAGGACCTACATGGGGTCAGGGGCTTCTCTTCTCAGCCTCCCCCACCTTGGACTCCTTAATGCCCCTCCCCACCCAAGCGCTAGCTTTCCTCTGAATCCTTTCTCTCAGGACTAGTGTTCTATGTTTAGGCCTGCTTTGGTAAGGGGGCCATTATGGCTGCTGTGTCCCATCTCTGAGAATCCTGGGGTTGTCCCCTCTGGGAGAAGGTGAACAGTGGTTCACTGGCCAGTATCCCTTCAGTCACATTGAGGAGTGTTGGGCCACAGTTCCTTTTCTACGTCCTACTCAGTGTGACTAGAGGTCAGAGGAGGGACAT